AAAAAAGTATTATATGAAACAATTTCACAAGATTAAACAATTTCATGAAAAAATTTCATAAGATTAAACAATGAAATCGACAGATGAAGGTGGTTTGCACGGTTTACACAAATGAGGGCGGTTTTCATATGATCACTCCTCTATATATATATATATATATATATATATATATATATATATATATCAAAAGAAACAACTGAGGATATGATAAAGCAGCTTCGTATCAAGTGTAATATTGATTTGTATTAGTTTAGTATCTAATATATGCTCATCAACCATTTATCTTCAAAAAAAATTTTAAATTATCTTCACCGTGCAACGTACGGTTTCGAATACTAGTTATATGTAAGGAGCTTTTTACATGTAAAAAATAAAATAATAAAAATCAGGGTAAAGGGTGAATATAAAGAAGCATTGAATGAAATACATAGACCCCATCCAATAACTAAAGTTGATGAACGTTCCTATTCCAACATCATCACAAATCTGAAGATGAGACCTTTTTCTAACATTAAAGTCTCAACTTGCTTCACAAAATAAATAGTTTTCAATGTCTTAGAATACAAAAAAAAAATAGCGTTTAAGATTAATACAGTGTGTAGAGTTTAATAAGACTGAAAAATAACAAAATACAATTGATCGTAGTTTGAGACACGACTGATGTGTCAGATCTGACAAAAGAATACACCACTCTTCTCATGTAGAGCATTCACAATCGACTTCTATACTTCAACTTGCTCCTTCGTCCAAATTCCACGTGTTTCAAAGATATTTTTTGAAGAGAAAATTGCACTAAAATGAAACCAACTTTCACCTGATTTCTATTTTGAGGAACCAAGTTTCAAAATCGTCATTTAGGGGTCTTGATCAAACTTTTTGTTTATTTAAGGGGTTGGTTGATCAGTTGAACAAGTAACTAACAGGTAATTTAAGGGACTTTATAAAACTTTTGGTTTGATTTGCCAAATTTGATTTAAACTTTAATATTGATACGGATTGGTTAGATATAAAAATCTTGAATGTGATATTTATATTTATTTTTTATTGCATCAATTAATTTTTTTCTATTAAATTGATTTTTTTATTGCATTAGTAAAAAACAATTTTTATTGTGGTAATTTGGATCTTTTTTTTTTGAAAAAA